TAAAATACAAATGCTTTTAAGAACTTTTTTATATTAAAAATTATAACTAGACATATATGCATTTTTGGTGTCTAATTTAAGTAGTCTAGTTATATATTACTATACAGGTTTTACATATAGCTGTCTAGTTTTATGCAACATGCTATAGTTATCTAATACTTGCAGTTACAAAAGTTATTTGTTTAACTACTATATTATACTATTTCTATTCTTATAAAGTTTATTAGAATCTTAGTATTTATCTTTTTGACATCTTTTTTATTATTTACTACTAACTGCTACTTAGAACTAATAAACTTTAGCCAAACTATCAATCCAAATAACCCAATATAATATATTTTATTTCTGTATTCATTTTTTTCAATATAATTTGATAGTCTGATTAGTTATATACTTCTTTATATATATTTTGTATTTAGTTTATTCAATTTATTCTTTTAAAATAGTTTGTAGACTTAAACTGATCTGATAATACTATTAAAAGTTCATATTATATCTTTATTTGGAAATTTTTAAGTAAGTTTCTAGTTTCATAATTTTTTAATTTTTTATATTTAGTGATCTTATATGGGTTTGTACTAAAGTCTTAGCAATATTAGTTAATAATTTTTCTTTAAATATATGTAATATTACACTTTACATAAATGCTATAGTGTAAAACCTAACTTGGTATATCTGAATTACAGTTACATAAGGCCAAACAATTAATAAGAGACAGTTATTGTAATACAAATTAATTTTTAAATTTTGTTATAAATAAGGTTTGAATATTAGACCTGATACTTGAAAGATAACAATTTAATCACTATAGTAAGATTGACATTCTCTTTTTATTTTATTTTATTTACAAATAGTAATATTATTATTAATAAAAAAGGTTTAAAAATTTTATAAACAAAATTTTTTCTAGCTATAAGCTTTATTTTAATTTATATATTGTATTATTTTTGCTTATTTTAACAATAACATAATTGTAAAATAAAAAATTTTTATATAAAATAACTTTTTTATCTAATAATTTTTGGCTATTACTATTTGGTGTAATTACTCTGATCTCTGATTATATTATAAATTTGTTCTAGTATTAAACAAATTAACCTCTATAAGTTTCAATATCAATTGCTTATTAAACTGTTTAAGTTTTTTTTTAGAAGTTTTTTTTTATTTAAAACTTAAATAAAAAGATTTCTAAATTAATAATTAACTCTGTTCTATAAGTATTTAATTAAATTAAGATTAAATAATTAAGAAATAAGTTAAAAAACTTATTTTATTTTTTTAAAATCAACATTCTGTCAATATTGCATATAACAAAATACTCTATCTTATTAAAAAATAATTTTACTAACTTCAAATCTATAATCTTTAATTGTTTATATTAAATATTTACAAAGTATTTATTAATACAACTCATCATCTATTGTACTATTAATCTTTCAATAGTTGCTAATATTATAAAAAGTAAAACATCTTCAAATCATAATTAATCTGCTTTTAAATTTTATAGTAAGCTTAATATAAAACTGGTTCAACAGCTCTTTATAATGTTTTTAATAGTATTGTTTGTTATTTGAGTTATAAATTTGAAACTATAATTTATCTAATCAGATTATCTTAAACTAATTTTTAACAGTCAAATTTTCATATTTTTTTGTAAAACAAGTTATGTTATTTAATAATTAAAGTAATATTTAGATATAATTTTTTATTTCTAACACTAAAGTATAGCTTCAAAGTATCTAATAAATAGTAGATATTGAAATTTCAATATTTTCATTTATTTTAAGATAGGTTTTTATTTTAACAATAATCAAATAATAACAAGAAATAACAAGATTTACTATTTTTTTTTAGATTGGTTTATATAATAAAAGTAAATAATTAACTCTTTTCAAATCTTTAAGTAAGTAGTTTGCTAACTACTTTTTCTAATTTGCAAGACTATGAAAAGTTAATATTGTAGAACTGACTTACTGTCTTTATGATATATTTTTTTTGAAAAGAAAGTAATATTTAAGCTTGATAGATTGAAGTTATATAAATTTTTTTTTAATTAAATTAGTAATCAATTCTAACATTATATAAGATGCAGAATTAAAAATAAAACTTATATTTTATATATATTTATATTACACAACTTACACAATCTAATCTTTGTTAAAAACAAGCAAAAATAATACAACACACATTTTGTAATACATGTATACTTATTTTTGTATTGGCAATAATAATGTCTATTAAAATTCTAAAATTAGAAAAAAACTTTATTTGTAAATAAAATAAAAAAAAAACTAATAAATACACTTAGAATTGCATGAGATAAAATAATCTAACTAAATTTTTTTTGTTGCATTATTTATAATTGCTAGTGTAATAGTTACTGATATGAAGATAATTGTTCTGCTCTTGAGAGTTACTTTTCATTATCTTATAAATAATTATGCTAGTTTAATACTATTTTTATACAATATTTAAGTGAAAATGATTGTAACCAGTATTTTATTTATTTTTTTATCTAATAATTGATATATAGATAACTTTAAATGCCTATAATAAAAAAATCAATAATTCTATAATTATGATTTTGCTGTTGTTATAAGTCAAATAATCAGAATACTTTGTAATAGTAGTTCTGTAATCATGTTTTTTTGCCTTATATATAATATTTTTTAAAAATTAGATCCTAATATGTAATTATTTTTAATTTGATATTGTATTTGTAATTATTTTCACTTTCCAGACTCTTATTTGTAAATCCCCCAAATTCTCACTATGCTTTATTATAAAAGCTAAAGAAATTTTATAAGAAAATAAACCATAATTAAGGTAAATTCAGAAAACCAAAATATAAATAATGAGAAATCATACTAAAAATAGTGAATCCAAATCTGAAATTTTAAGAAAGTACAGAAAATTCTTTATGAGATATAAAAAGCTTTTTTTTACTTATATTTCCATGTTTAATATATATATTTATTAATTTTATGTTTAGGCACTTGATTGAAAAGTCTAATAATTTTTCTAAGCAAAAAAAATAGCTTTGAAGCATTGAATCGAACTTTAACCCTATCCAATAATGGTAGATGACATTAAAGATTTTGAAAAAGCAAAAAAGCTTCCAAAAACCTGGAGTGAACGTAACAAAAACACCTTTTACTGGTAGAATTAAATTCAAATTTAAAACTTTATACGTGTATTAAATAAACTTTGAATTTGGATGCAAATGCTCGAATTGAATGTAATTTGACTTAGAATTTGTAGTCATGATTAAATAAATTTTGATAAGTCGAATAAATATATAAAAAAAACTTCAATTATTTCTTCAAAACTTTCGTGATCTTGTGATTCTGTTATTCTTGTGCGTAGGTTGAAATTTAAAAGCGATTATGTAACTGATTTTGGTGGCGATACTAGGTGCGTTCAGACCAGTTATGTACGGAGTTTAAATACATATAATTTAATATAATAAAAAAGTTTCATAATACCTGAAAATTCATATAATGCTTAGTATAAATTGTATTTTTACAGAACTGATTTGAGTGGTTATGCTTGAGGGGTTATGAAAATCTTTCGGTTTCTTCTCAATCGGAGTTACAACAAATAAAAGAAACAAAAATTTAAACTTTAATTGGTATTATTATAATCTTTAAAATAATTATTAGAATAAATAGATCTTAAATTGTAATTACAATTTTGGAATCATGTATAATTTTTCGGAGACACATAATTTGTACTTTTGCCGGTCCGCATTATCGCAAAATAAATTTTGGTTATTTTGAAGTTCGGCCTGCAGCCATTCGACATGCTTAATCGAATGGTCGTATGGCATATCGAATGTTGCCAATTCAGTATGTTGAATCTTTTAATTTTTACTAGTGCACATCAGGCCCACAATTTTGGAAGGTTTGTAAAATTTCAATTTCGGCACGGGCCGTGCAGGCCTCTATTGAATGCACTAATACTAGCAATACATGATCCCTATTGGTGATTATAATCCAGGTTGTATGAATAAAGTTATTTTCAGAGGAACAGAGAAATTATAAATTAATTTTTATTGTTTCTATTTATTTATAGTCAGACCTCGATATAATCGCCCAGGTAGATAACCAAAATTTAATGTGACTAAGGCGATAGTGCCTATACAAAGGTTAATTGTCTTATGCTTTATAATGGTTGGTAAAACGAAAATAAATTTATTTTTATACTTTGTGACTATTTCAAGAGTGACTATATCGAGGTCTGACTGTATTTATTTATTTTTTATTTTAGTTTCGCCCTCACTATACTACATACACTTTAAGATGATAAAAGTCTTTCGAACATCTTGTTGACGATGATCAGACAATGCATTTAGAAAAATCACAATTACACATAAAGAATATGAGAAAAAGAAAGTTCTGTTTTAATACAGTAAATACACTATAAAGATCTTATATCAGATATTGTTAATTATCCAAACGTACGCGGTGTTCAAAAAAATATTTCTTTTATGAATCAATTATTATCCTAAAGATTCTGAATAAAAAACGATAATAAAACTTGTTAAGGTAATTTATTATTTTGTATTAACAATTTTTGAAAAATATGTCAAGAATAACCAATCCTATTTATGCAAAACATTTATGATTTATTATTTAGTATTTAGTTGCAATTTTTATGATAAATTACAGTATATTGAATTGTAATATTGACATCATATCTCGGACAACTCATTAAATAATGAATATAGAGTATTATCAAAATCATTTGTTGTGGTAATGAAATAAATACTGAAAACAAAACAGATCTGGAAATAATTTTTTACGATCATACATTCTGTAAATAGATGATCCAATTTCATGTTTAAACTAATGACTGTAGGATTAAATTAGAGTTAGTGGAAATAAGCAATTATTTTGTCAAAATAATTCAGATATTTATGAACATCTTATCCATTTTCAGAATGCTATGAACGTTAGCATTCGTTTAAGTTATCAGTCATTCTTTGAAGTATTAGAACATCACTGCCATGTAAGGATAACTAATACATATTTCAATGCAAATTCTCTGTTATGCAATAAATCAGCTTCCAGTTTAGCTTTCTATTAACTGTCGTATATCGACATTGCTAATACATTTTGATGATTTAGTGTATATTCTATCATATGAGCTTACGCTTACCCTCCATGGTAAGTCCAGAAATTGAGGACCCCAAACAGAGTAAGGCAAACCCGATGATGCTGAAAGAAACCACCTACTCTATAAGAGGGATGACTTGATTGGGGTACTTTTGGTGCGTATCATCTATAATTTAAGTAATAGACTCAAAAGCTCGTTATTTTGCAAAAAAAAAAAATTTCATCAATCTTAATTTATCGTTAGTACAGTAGAAAGTATTTTAATTTCACCTATTCCATGTTATCAATTATTTGGTTTGATGTTTTTTTTTAAAGCCATTTCTTTCATTGAGATCTTTTTTCAATAGAGTTAATTCACTGCAAAAAGTTTTTTTTTTTTGTATTATAACCATCTAATTCTTGTTATCTATGCTGCAAGTTTTTAAATCAATAATAATAATCTGCAATAAGTGCTAATATAGTACCTACTGAATAAGTTAGACACTTCTGTAGTTAGTCTTTTTTATTTTCATTTCTATATAGTTCATTGACAATTACATCACTAAATTAATTTCTTATGAGATGATAATGTTTCATAAAAAGTAGGTATACGTTAAGGAGGAACTGACAAAACAGTCTTTATGTTCATGGTGCTTATAACCATAGTATGCTTTATGATGCATTTTTGTTGGGCTCTACGTATTAAAAAGCTAGAACTTAAATGCTAATGCTCGAGTTTTTTTGTACTTTTACATTTCAATTCATGGGAAATATTAATGCCCAAATTTCTTTGGTAGTTATTCAAATCGACTGTATTTTTATCGACTGTATTTTTATCGTTATTGTTTCAAGCAATTATGAAATTTTAATACAGGAATATCATCGGATTAGGAATTGATATTCTTTAGTGTTAGTAAAAGCATGAGTGGTTTACAGCATTCTCATTTTTAAGAAACGTATAATTCCTTTTTCCATTCGCTAATACGTAGACAAAGAAGCAAATGAAATTTATATTCTACGCCACTAAAAGTCACTACGTACGGATAAATGACAGTGCCTTCTCGTCAAAACCGATAACCTATTTGATTGGCTCAGATTGAGCTTCGTGTAACTAAGTATCAGTGTTTGTAGTAGATTTTATCGATTTTTCAAGAAATCGACTTAGCTCAAATAATTCTATTCGGCAGTTTACCTTCCGGAAAGAAAATCAACGAACATAAAATACGAGTAAGGTTGAGACAAATAATGAGAAAACTTTTACGATAACATCCGAAGGCTAACCAACTTTGACTTAGCCGATTTTTAAGTATCGATTTAGTTAAGTCGATCAATTATATCTATTTATAATCATGTGACCGATAGGGCGATTAGTATGTTAAATAAGACAGCCTCTCAAAACTGATACGAAAGTTGACCACCATATGCATTAAGCTAATCTTGAGATTAAAATTGAGGTTGAGTTAGGTTAGAAGTTTATACCAATTTATATTAAGATAGATCATTTTGTCAATCATATAACCGGTGTTAACCTCAATCCAAGAACGACTAATACAGGAAGTCATGTATGTAATAATTGTATGGGTAAATGAATGAGAGAATAGTATGATGATTTAGGCTATACTCGAAAGAGAACATATGCATTAGGTGTCTTTATTTATTAAGGAGAATGCTGAGATTCGATGTTTACATAGTGGAGCGGGAGACGCCTTTTATACACTTTATTCCTGTATTCTGAATATATCGAAATTTTTTTTTTTCATTAGTAAAAAAAATTCAAAATGTTGATATAATAAATTATATCGGCAATTTATAATATTTTAAGTTTGAAGAAATATATCGATATAGAAAGATTTTACTATGATGTTGTTATATCCAGATGTCGTTATAACCAGAGTGACGTGTATATGGGATGGAACTATTATAGATTTAGAATCCCTTGAGATTCGACCATTGGGTAGAGAGTATTGCAAAGAATGAAAAAGTGAAATACATAAGAGAAGGAAAGTAATAATAATTTTGTATTTTATCTGATAATTTATCATTGTTGCGATTACACATTTATTGCAATATCGAATTTATAATCAAACTTATTATTAAATTTATCGATCAAATCTAGGTTGCTTTAAAATTAATTTCGTAACAACTTGGGTTACATTTGGAATTTAGTTCCAACCTAAATGAATTCTAAACTATCCGATGCACGTACGACATATACATTATATTTTAATCATCAGACTAATATCTTATATGATGCTAACGATATAAACATCGATTATAACAGGAATAACACTTATTGCTTTGACGACTCTGACGACTCTGATAGCTCTAGTGACGGAGAGACAATGTGTGGTCACATGAAAACGAGACCGGTAACACCTGGCATAAAGTCCATATCAACATTAGGCTTGGCTTTTCATCACCTGTTGCGGATGAATATCTAGCCAATGCTAGAGCTTTATGCGGTCAAATAACACCAAGAAAATTCATGATCGTTGATCATACATCTTTTACTCAGGTGACCTTGTTTTTAAATGTATTGTGCTAATAAAGCTAATAAAGCTAATAAAGTATAGGCAATCCCTTACACGTATCACAGTATCAGGAAAATCATTTAATTTATAGCATTTCTCTTCTAGACAACTTGTTAAAGAACAGTGTAGATTATTAGCCTATTATTTTGCCATGCCTACAAAGTGTATTTGCTTCTTTGCTATGAACATTTCTCATGTTAGTTTATTACTTGTTTTATTTTCTGGCATATTATGTCAATTATAACAGGTTGGACTCGTGATGAAACATAATATAAATTATTATTATATGCAACCACAAAATTTGAAAATTCACCTTTTAAGAGTCTTACCAAAGGTTATAATTATTGTACGATTTTAGCCAAGACTTTAGTATAATATTTTAAAATATAGATTTTTCGTTTCATGTAATTTATTAAATCATATGATAACGGTAAAAAATTTTAGATGTGGCATCTAGTGTAACTGTTAATACAGTACGTAATATGTAGAACAATATATACGTACCAGATATTGCTGTATTGATATTAAAATGTATCGTTAGTTATTAAATTACGGTACTACAATCTTATCGTTATTAAAAATATTAAAAATATTAAAAATATTTATTTATATATGTAATTATTATTATTATTAAATAAATAAATGATCGTTATACGTATAACGATAAAAATGTTACTAAACTAAATCTTGTGTGTACGAACTTGCGTTTTAAAAGGCTAGCCGTAGCACATTATAACATGGTCACGACCGATCCGGGACTTTAAAACAACATTTGATTGACATGTGGAAATAAAGTTTAATAAAAAATGTTAATTCAAGTTAATTTAAGTAGTGAGAAAAAAATTTATGTAGTAGAACGATAATGTAATATCATTAATTTCTTTAATTATAAATTATAATAATTCGATACGTCGAAATAAACCATAGATTTCGAAGGATTGAATGCATAGAAGAATGTGTAGTGTCACTTGTGTTACTTTTCCAAGAGTTTACTCAAGCGAAAAAATGGATTCCGAAATTACGTTATGTATTATTCTATGCTTTGTCGTTGGTTTTTGGTTTGGGTACAGTATGTATTTTATAAGAGATCGTCCCAAGCAGCATGTATGCATACCGATAAAGAATATACTTGCTTTGCAGTTGTTTTCATAATACAGTACCTAGAAACTGTTTAAAATCTAATGGTTTTTCGAAACCTGGAAACCACTTTGTTATCTTCTGATTAAAAGTTTCAATACAGTAACAATAAAGATTATATTATAATATAATAGCTCACTTTCATTAGTCTCAACTATTTTCATACATTATTCATACATTATTCATACATTAATTCCAAGGAACAATATTCTCCTGTAGTTTTAAAGTTAATTTTTAAAGTTAATTTTTGAAGTTAATTTACTTGTGGTTAATTTACTTGTAGTTAATAATAAAACATATATGAATGGTTGGTTATGTGACGACTAAGTACATTTTTTTGCAAGTAAGGGTAAAGTGAGTTAGGTATTTTCCGGAAATATAATAAAATATTTAAACATTAATTAAATTTTAATAGGATGCTTGTTCTTAGATGCATGCGGCTCTGACAGTGTTTTTGGAGGACCAATACTAAACCTTAATAATTTTATAAAGCTTTCCAACAAATTTGTTATGAACTGTACCAATAATAGTTAATAGCACATCATCGATATGGTTCATGTTGATGAATTGGTTTATTTCTGCGCATGCGAACAAATCAGGTGTTAGCAGTTTATTTTTAGTAACCTTTATGAACCTGGTTACGATTTCATTCTCGAAGCAAAAAAAATTTACAAGGACCATGTTCAGAATTTATGTTGATAATTAGAATGGTTGGTTGTAAAATGCGTTTAACTACATTTGTATTTAATACAATGCATACAATTTATAACTACGTATCAATATTCATGCTGAAATTATTTTTATAAATTTAATTAAAATTAACGGTTGCACAACAGTTACACATCAATTTCGATAAAGGTGCAAAAGTTTATAACGTCGCTCTTCATCTATCTTGTACAGTAAAAAAAAAAAAAAAACTTGCCTCCAACTTGTGTTTCGGAATAGCCTTGTTGGTATTCCCCTTCTACCATTCCCTTCCCGTATCTAACATTCCTTTTCTTTTGTCCGCTTGGTTCTTGCGACCATTTCCCCTCTTCTCTTTATCTCTCTCTCGCTCTCTCTCTCTATTTCTCTCTCGCTCTCTCTCTATCTCGCTTTCTCTCTATCTATCTATCTATATATATATCACTTCTCTTTTCCTCCGTGCCACGAATAATAAAAAAAATTAAAAAAATCCATTCTCCGTTCGTACTTCTTATTTATTCCGTTCACGTTATTCCCCTTATCATAATTAACGCGTAATTAATATAATCAATCCACTATCCTATATTTATCACAAAAATGGAAGCGGGTTATGGCTCCGCGAGGCTCTCGGCGGTCGACCGCAGGAGAACACTTATCAGACCTGAAAGATATCAAGCGGCTGCTCCTATGTTGCCCGGTAAAGAAAAAGAATCCTTTGATATTTGGGTGATTTTTTCTAAAATAGTTACTTTCTGGGCTCCTGGCGCGCTTTTATCTTCTCTTGGTGGTCTTCATGATGAACAATCACAGCAAGCTTGGCGTGAAAAAGTTACTTTATGTTTTATCGCCGTAGTTATGGGTAGTACCGTTGCCTTCTTAACTGTTGGCTTTGCTGCTGTATTATGTCCTCCGGATCAAGCAAGTAACCCTCAATTATTTAAACGCTTTGGTGAAGCTCCAGGTAATTTTCTTTAAAATATATCTAATGGCTAACCCTGGTTATTGGATGCGAAGTTGCCAATAACGGGATTTAGTGGTGTCACCAGGGGTGTGATATTATTTCGTGTTAATTCGGTAATAAATTATTCTAATCAATATATTTATTTTATATATATTTTTAGGTCATCTTGGGATCCTTGGCTGGCAATTTGATGTATCTAAAGCAAAAAATCCTCCAAATTTTGATTTTAATAATTTGTCTACAACACAAAATAGTCAAGATATTACAAACAGTTTTTTTCGTGATAATTCTAAAATTCCCGGTTGTCAAGAACCTACAATCCAACAATTTGCTGCTGTAAAAATGCCTCTTTGTGTACCTGCAACTGTTTGTCCGCTTACTTCAATTAATGCTTCAACTTTTACAACTTATAATATTGTTAACACTACAAAAAAAGTTGGCTTCGATTGGAGTCAAGTCGGCAACATATCAAACTATTTAGTCATTGATGGTAATGTTCTAAATCTTAAAAATTATATTATCGCTAATCCAAAACCAATTCCTGGTGATATTATGGATGTTGTCATTCGTACTGTCTTAAATTCAACTCATGTTCAAGGTGGAAGAGATGCTACTCGTCTTTTCTTTGGTAGAGCTGATTTAAAAGCTGCTGTTAATTGTCTTGTTAACAAATATTATGCTGGAAACATTGATAAACAAACAATTGGTTGTTTCACTTCCGAACTTTTCTTATACGTTTCATTAACCGTTATCTTGAGTATCGTCTTATGCCGTTTTATTATGGCTTGTATCTTTGATTGGTTTATTTCTCATCGTTTGGCTCTTGAACCAAAAGTCAAAAGCCCTAATGCTTCTAATGGTAGTAAACCTTGGGTTCCTGGAACTAGTACTGTTAGGAAGGGAATGACGATGGATGATGTTGGAAAAGATTTATTCACTGTTTTACTTGTTACTTGTTATTCTGAAGATGAAGTTGGTATAAAATGTACTTGTGAATCTATGGCTTCTACTGAATATCCTGATGATCGCAAATTATTATTCCTTATTTGTGATGGTATCATCGTTGGTAGTGGTAACGAAAAAAGTACTCCTGATATTTGTGTGGGTCTAATGGAACTTGGTAAGTTATTATTTATATTAAAAAAAAAGAAAAAAAAAAAAACTCTCTGCTTTATATTAATTTCAAATCAATTTTTATTTTTTTATAATTATAGAACCTGAGTTCTCTGATCCACAACCTCAAAGTTATGTTGCTGTGGCTGCTGGGTCTAAACAACATAATATGGCTAAAGTTTATGCTGGATACTTCCCTTATCAAGATCGTCGTATTCCTATGGTTGTTGTTGTAAAATGTGGTACTCCTGAAGAACAAGGAAAACCAAAACCTGGTAATAGAGGAAAGCGTGATTCTCAATTGATTTTAATGAACTTCTTTAGCCGTGTTACATACAACGATCGTATGTGCGCTTTAGATTATGATTTATTTAGAAAAACACAACATTTAATGGGTGTAACTCCTGACTTTTTCGAAATCGTTTTAATGGTGGACGCTGATACAAAAGTATATCCAAATTCTCTTCGACTTTTGATCAATTGTATGTACAATGATCCTTTCATTATGGGTTTATGTGGAGAAACGAAAATTGCCAACAAACGTGATTCTTGGGTAACCGCAATTCAAGTTTTTGAGTACTACATTTCTCATCATTTGGGTAAAGGTTTTGAATCTGTATTTGGTGGTGTTACTTGTTTACCTGGTTGTTTCTGTATGTATCGTCTCAAAGCTCGTAAAGGTGATGATGATTGGGTCCCAATTATTACAAAACCAGAAATTGTTCATGAATATTCTCAAAATGTTGTTGAAACTCTTCATCAAAAGAATTTATTACTTCTTGGTGAAGATCGTTTCTTAACAACCCTTATGTTACGAAATTTCCCACATCGTAAAATGATGTTTTGTCCACAAGCCATTTGTAAAACTGTTGTACCTGATGATTTCTGGGTTTTACTCTCTCAAAGACGTCGTTGGATTAATTCTACAATTCATAACCTTATGGAACTTGTTCTCGTTAGAAATCTTTGTGGAACTTTTTGCTTTTCTATGCAATTTGTCGTTTTTATGGAATTGATTGGTACTGTGGTCCTTCCTGTAGCTATAGTATTAACTTATTCATTGATTATTTCAATGGTTTTGAAACCACCAAGCGATTTTACTGAAGCTATCCCATTGATGATGTTATTTATGGTTCTTGGGTTACCGGCTGTTTTAATTTTAATTACTACACGTAAATTAATATACATCGCATGGATGTTTGTTTATCTTTTGGCTTTACCTATATGGAATCTCGTTCTACCAACTTATGCTTACTGGCATTTTGATGATTTCTCTTGGGGTGAAACCAGAAAAGTTGAAGGTGAAGGCGCTGGTGATGATCATGGTAAAAAAGAAGGTAGTTTTGATGCTAATAAAGTTCCATTGAAACGTTGGGAAGATTGGGAACGTGCTCGTCTTCGTAGAAATAAACGTATTGAACGTCAAGATCGTCAGAATCAACAAAAAGGTCCATCACATTTAACACATCAAGTTTATACTGGTGATGACCAAAGCAACGCTTCATTACTCGCGTCAAATTACGTAAGTTATGAAGGTGATTACCAAGATGCAATGTCAATGCATTCTACCGCTTCAGGAGATATTGGACCTCAACAACAGTATTATGACTATTCGACCAACAGATATCAACCACAAGATTATGAGCGTTACCAACAAGGTCAATTTGATGATATGCGATTTGGCAACACACACGATTTACAACGTGCACCATCACCAAGATTACCAGAAAACAATTATTAAATAAATTCGCACTCCCTAAATATATTTTCGTTATTATATTTTTTTTCTTTAGTGGATACAACTTTACATAGATTAAATTTGTCAAATTGTTAGAAAATTTTACGTTTGAGAAATGTTTATTTTAATTGTATTTACTTTATTAGATAATGTATTATACATTTAATGTTAATACTTGTCAAAAATGAACTGATTTCCTGATCTTTTTTTTTTTTTTTGAGGTCAGAAATCCATTATAATATTATAGGAAAATGTTTTATATCATTTTGAAAATTTTTATTAAAATTAAAAATTGGTTATATTGAACAATAACCTTAGACATTGTCATATTTACAAAATTAAAACTTTATTAAATATTTATCTTTGCATTACTTATAAATAATGATTTTTTTTTTAACTCGTGCCAATGAGAAATCGTCTCAATCATGATTTTAACTATATAAATTGTTATGAAAAAAAACAAACAATAATTAAATTTTTTGGCAAAAATCGATCGATTTAAAACTTGGAAACTGGATTAGTTGTTTCCAGGACATACTGTATTTAAAATATCTAGATCCCAACACTAACCATTGCAAACACTGAAAGTTTTATTTCTTTCCCACTGTTTATTCTTAAGTCTTCTTCGGATACACAAAGAAAGTTTATGTTTATCTATTACTTTGAAGTACAAGGTTGAATTGAATACCTAAAACAAACTTCAGAAATATAAATATAGTATAATTATATCTGCCGAGATTCTAGACCCTAGTAAAAAGGTGGCAGTTTTATTTCCTACTCCACACTAGTTACCATTGAAGAAATTATTTATTATTTTATTTATGCTTTAAAAAAGAAATTATGTAAAACATGAAAAACATGATATAATGAATCTTTAAATAAATTATCAAATGTTTTTAAAATTTCTAATGGTCCATTTCTATATCATATTCAAACCAATCTATACCTTCCAATGATTGTTGCATCAAACAGCAAATTGCGTAAAGCAAGAACTTCAACACCATTTTGGAACAATACATAACTATTCATCCAATTAATAAAAAAACTATCATATCCATCGATGTTCCTAGGCCGTAAGTTGGTGTTTCCAGCGATATCCCGGAGAATAAAGCTGCGAGGTATTTGAATGGTATCATTATGTTTATTTACAAAATAAATTTAATTTGATGTTGTTTATTATGACAACTTTTCTGTTGTCGTTAAGATATAAGAAGAAACCTCTGGTCAGCATAATCTATTATCGCGTAATTGGGTATTTGTTTACGCGTAGAATCAATACGTGACAAGATCAGGTGTAACATAAAAATCAAGATCCTAACTATAACACGGTCGGTTTTCAAAATACATTGAGTTTGACACCTGAACTTAAATTGTGATTGGTCAAAATTACAAGTGGTGTGGTGAACAATTTTTTGGGGAACACTATCTAAAATAATGGGATCACTTCTGCGCCTAATTAAAAATTCATTTCTTTTAATTTTACTAATAGACATTAAATTATTCTAATCCTAACGTACAATTTTTTGTGGGTGCGCTACAATTAAATTATAGGCTCTGTACCACATTTACAAAAAAAAAGATATAAATCAATTGTATGCAAATAAGAAGATATTTATACCAAAATTTGCAGAGAAATTTTTTAAAGAACGAAATCCAGCTTATTAACTGATCATTCCCCCTCTACTAGTTACATATTCTGTAAGCCTTGTAGAAAAAAATTTATTGAGATTTATGCGATCACATACTTCTCGATATAGTATCGGTACAATAAATCGTGACCTCATTGCGCAGAAATAACTGTGCAAACTTTATTATTATTATATACTAATGTGTGACTTGTCGCGTTGCTTTAAATTTGAATATTTAATTTTATTTTAGAATTTAATTTCCTTATGTCAAGAAAATCCCGAGCTGCCGGCCAAAAAGATATGGTCGTAGTATATCAAAAATTCACTATATATCTATCATTAAAAATCGTATCCTATAAGTAAAATTTCATTCTGAAAACTTTTACTTAGAGGTCGGAAGTTAGTCAGTAAATTTTTGTGTTATTTACAATTTATGTTTTTCGCGTTTGTTTTGTTACACGAGGCCCTGTGATTTTATTGGATCCGGATAGGGTCGGAAGTGATCTTCAGCCCGGGATTTTCTTGACATAAGTTACATTCCATTGAAAATCCATACTATACACTGCAGGGAAAGGAAGTATAGTGTGAGCGCCGAAATCGATACCACCGTTATCACGGTCATACGTGGCGCGTGATCGATCGTCGAATTTAGGTCCCGACGCCTACCCGAGTAATTGGTCACATGAAAAGTAAGATTTATCTTAATTTTCTTACTTTTATTACATTTATTA